AGCTGGGGTTACAGGCATGCGCCACCATGCCCAGCTAATTTTTTGTATTTTTAGTAGAGACGGGGTTTCACCATGTTGACCAGGATGGTCTCGATCTCTTGACCTCGTGATCCCACCCGCCTCGGCCTCCCAAAGTGCTGGGATTACAGGCGTGAGCCACCGCGCCCGGCCTAAATGGCTTTTTATGTATATATAACTCTTGTTTTGCTCTGTTGCAACAAATTACACTTGTCATTTAACATGAAACTTGCAAGATACTGCTCTTCAGTCTTTACTGTTTTGGTTGTAAATACTAGCCTTGGTCACTGCTGTATATATGGAAACTAAATTTAAAAACTAGCCTTGGTACTTGATTCTGCATCAGTAGTAAACCTTTATTTTAAAATTAAAATATGTTCATGCTACTTATAAAAAATGAAAATAATTAGGGACCAGGTGCAGTGGCTCATGCCTGGAATTCTAGTGCTTTGGGAGTCTGAGGTAGGAGGACTTCTTGGACAACATAGTAAGATCCTATGTCCCCCAAAATTATTTTTAAAAAGGAGATTAATGAATATAACTATATTAAAATATTTTATGACTTACATTAAAGTATCACTGTAGCTTGTGTTACCTGCATAAAGTATTTTTGAAAAACACATAGTACATCTGTGTGTAGAAAAAAATTATTTGAATCAGTTTGTTGACAGAGACTAAATTAGTGGTGTATTTATGTGTATGTTTTGCAATACCAGAAACTGCACATGGCAACAATCCCAGTACAAGCTGATAAATAACTTACATGATATGACAGTTAACATACAGTGTAGTCTTACCAAAGCAATGAAATGTTTAATGGAAACATGTTTTAAAATGCATCAACATTGAAATTTAAATAAAATATTAAATTTATTAATTGTACTAGACATAGTAAGTACATCAGTTTTTACTCTTGTGGGAAGTGGCTACTATATTGTACAGTGCAGGTCTTATTGTCATTTTTTCAACTTTGGCAGAAATTGATAATGAAGGTGTGATTGAACCAGACACTGACACCCCTCAAGAAATGGGAGATGAAAATGCAGAGGTAAGTTAGGTGACTTGATTTCCTTCTGGTTCTAAGAAATGTGAAGTGTTCTGCTGTTGCAATGATTTTATGACATGAAAATCATTTCTTCCAGTACATTTCTTTCAGGAAAAGTGCATAGTAAATCTGTCTTTGGCTTGAGGCATTTAGGCAAGCATTGTATTTTACTACTTAAAATACTTGTGGGAAAAAATAAATAAATAAAAGAAATACTGTTATTTTATGTTTTATCTGTTTAAATTTGCATCTGGTTTGACTGCTTACACTGTAACATAGAATTCACTTAAAATACATACTTACTAGAATTCACATAAAATACATATCTGCTAGTGCGGTTGCCTCTTAATGGAATATCTAATGCCAAATTGTATTCCAAAATGGTTTTGTCCTAACGGGCCTCAAGGGCGTGAAAATTGGCTCTTGGGAGGATGGCTTGAAAAAGATTCTACATATTACAGTGGCTAGTGGTCCTCCAAAGACTCAGAATGTTAATGTAATATGTAGTATATCTGTGGTATTAAAATTGGGGGTGTGGTTATGAGGAAAATATGTCTAAAAAGGCTTCTTGGTGTCTGATAAAAAAGAGGTTGAGAAACACTCTAAGATAGTAATAGCAGTTTTAAAAGATTGGTTTGTATCCTTAAAACTTGATATTGTCAGATTTCATCTTTGCCAGTCTTGTGAGAAATGATATCTTTTTGTGGCTTTTAATTTGCATTTTCCTGGCTGGGCACGGTGGCTCACACCTATAATCCCAGCACTTTGGGAGGTGGAGGCGGTGGATTACCTGACGTCAGGAGTTTGAGACCAGCCTGGCCAACATGGAGAAACCCTGTCTCTACAAATGATACAAAAATTAGCTGAGCGTGGTGGTGGGCACCTGTAATCCCAGCTGCTTGGGAGGCTGAGGCAGGACAATCGACTGAACCTGGTAGGCAGAGGTTACATTGAGCTGTAATTACGACATTGTACTCCAGCCTGGGTGACAGAGCATCTCCAAAAAAAATAAAAATAAATAAATTGCAGTTTCCTGATTCCTAATGAGGCTGAGCATATTTAAATGTTTATTGACTATTCACTATCATTTATGAAGTCCTGTTCAAACCCTTTTTCCACTTTTTACTGGATCTTTATCTTATTGCTTTGTATTTCTATCTATTTATTTATTCTTTGAGACTGAGTCTTGCTCTGTTGCTCAGCCTGGAGTTCAGTGGCGTAATCTCGGCTCACTGCAGCCTCCGTCTCCCAGGTTTAAGCAGTTCTCCTGCCTCAGTCTCCCAAGCAGCTGGGGCTATAGGTGCGAGCCAACATGACCAGCTAATTTTTTTATTTTTAGTAGAGATCGGGTTTCACCATATTGGCCAGGCTGGTCTCAAACTCTTGACCTCAGGTGATCCACCCACCTTGGCTTCCCAAGATGCTGACATTACAGGCATGGCCCACTGTGCCCTGCCGCTTTGTATTTCATTTCAGTATCCCGGATGCTAGTAATATGTTGCTAGTGCTACATACATTTTCTACTGCTTTGTGAGTCATCTTCACTCATTTTTATGTTGTTTGAAAAATAGTATCTTTTAATGCAGGTAGATTGAGGAGTATTTTATATTTTCTACTTTATTACTTTAAGGTTATAATTGCTGTAGTGCATTGTGTTTTTTTCCTCTGAAAATTTTATACACCTAACTTTCACCTTTAATCTACCTGTTCCACCAATACTAAAATACACTGTTTCCATATATTGTGGGTCTGTTTGAGGACTCTTTTGTTCTGCTTGTCTAATTTTTTTCTGTTCACTAATGCCACATATTTGATAACTAAGTTTTGTCATTTTGTCGAACAAGGACTCCTAAAACTTTAGTAAGAATCTTTTGGCTATTCTTGGCTTTTTGTTTTTTCAAGTAAATTTTGGGAATAGATGATCAAGCCTCCCCCCTCCCATTAGCTTTTTCCCTTTTGTTAGAATTGTGTTAAATCTAAATCAAGTCAGGGAAAAGATACATCTCCTCACCATTGAGATTAACTGTCCATAAATACGAGATATGCCTAATTTTTAAGTATTTTTAAAATGTTTTAATAACTTACTAACATGTTCCCCGTAAGTCCTGTGCTTTTTTTTGAGACAGGGTCTCACTTTGTCATCCAGGCTGGAGTGTAGTGTTACAATCATAGCTCTTTGCACCCTTGACCCCCTGGGCTCAATGATCCTCCTGCCTCTGCCCGCCTAGCAACTGAGACTATAGTCATGCCACCCCCATGCCCAGCTAGTTTATTTTTATTTTTTTAAAATATTTAGTAGAGACAAAGACTCAAACTCCTGGCCTTCCAAAGTGCTGGGATTATAATTATGAGCTACTGCACTTGACCTGTCTTGTGCATTTTTGTTAAGAACAGATATAAGTACTTTCTGTCACCATTTGCGAAAGGAAACATTAAAGGTTAAGTGTTCTATTTATTGATGGTATTGTTTATTTGATGATGTGTTCAGGTTTATAATTTTATATTTATCCTGCTTAGGATTCATTGAGCATCAAATTCTAGGGTTAACTTTCTTTAGCTCTAGAAAATTTTCAGCTGTTATTTCATTCAAATATTGCCTCCTCTCTGTTTATGCCCTAATTCTGCATCCCTGGACAGATACGTGTTAGACTTTTTCTTTATTAATTTTCATCTCTCTATTACTCTGCTGAAAAGCACTGTATGCTTTCTCTGTTCCATTGATGTTTGAATTGGAATGCTTCTGTTTTTCATTTTGCTACTTCACATCTTTTTGAAGTCTACTTGGATATTTATAAGTCTTTTGCTCTTTACTCATTTTCAGAATTTACTTTTAATAAACACATTAAATTCCTTGTTGATCTCTTTGCTGGTCTTATTTTTCATGGCTCTTGCTCATTAAGGTACCTTGTTTACTTATGGTATGTGTGTTTTGTGTGATATTTTGAAAATGGGTTGTTTGGATCTTCACCGGTAGAAAATTTTTGAGGCCTAGGTAAGAAGGTGATTGCTTCCGTCAGGTCTGAGTCGATGCTACCAACTCAAAGTTCCCTTAAAATTCTCAGCATGATCTTTTTTTGTTTGTTCTAATTACTTTGGTAGTAAAGAATTCCAAATGAGGCCAGGTGCTGTGGCTCATGCCTGTAATCCCAGCACTTTGGGAGGCCGAGGTGGGCATATCACAAGGTTAGGAGATCGAGACCGTCCTGGCCAACATGGTGAAACCCCTTCTCTACTAAAAATGCAAAAATTAGCTGGGTGCGGTGGCGGACACCTGTAGTCCCAGCTATTCGGGAGGCTAAGGCAGGAGAAATGTTTGAACCCAGGAGGCAGAGGTGCAGTGAGCCAAGATTGCGCTACTGCACTCTAACCTGGCGACAGAGCAAGACTCCGTCTCAACAACAGCAACAAAAAAGAATTCCAAATGAAAGGCTGACTTGTGGTTGTGAATTTTCAGGGGAAGTTCTTTTAATCTCACTACTCAACTGTCCATTTCTGTAGTATAGGTTTATACCATTATGCTTGCCGGTATTGGCATTTGGAGTTCCAGATTTATTTTGGAAGGTCTCTGGTTAGACCACACACATCTTTTTCCTCTGAATATAGATTTTATGTCCTCTGTCCTGTATTATCTTCAAAATGAAATTGCAGCCAGTAGTGGTGGCTCACGCTTCTTAATCCCAGCACTTTGGGAGGTTTAGGCAGGCAAATTGCTTCAGTCCAGGAGTTCCAGACCAGCCTGAGCAACATGATGAAAACCTGTCTCTATAAAAAAAAAAAAATGCAAAACATTTAGCTGGGTGTGAGCCTGTTGTCCAAACCACATGGGAGGGGAGGCAGAGCCCTGGAGATGGAGGTTACAGTGAGCCATGATTGCACCACTGCACTGGAACTTGGGTGACAGAGGGCAATCCTGTCTTTAAATAAAGAAAAAGTCATTTTTATATTTAATATTTACTTTTTATGTTTATTTTTTGAAGAGACGAGGTTTCACCGTGTTGCCCAGGTTGGTCTTGAACTCCTGGACTCGAGCAGTCCACCCGCCTCAGCCTCCCAAAGTGTTGGAATTATAGGCATGAGCCGTTGCACCTGGCCTCAAATTACTTTCTTAATGAGTTAGCCAGCAGCTTCAGTTTAGACACTGGTGGTGATAGAGTGTATATATCTTTTTCCTGTGATTAAAGAACTGATGAGCTTTCCATTTTAGGAGGATATTTGCTGTAAGCTTTTGTTTGTTTTTTGCAGAGGTGGGGTGAAACAAGGTCTCACTCTGTGTCACCTAGGCTGGAGTGCATGGTGCAATCATGACTCACTGCAGCCTTGACCTCCTGAGCTCAAACAATCCTCCTAACTCAGCCTCCTGAGTAGCTGGGACCAGATGCATGTGCCACCATGCCCAATTTGGTTTTTTCTTTTTTTTTTTTTGGAGAGATGGGATCTCCCTCAGTTGCCCAGATGATATGTTTTTGTTCTTAATTCATTTTTGTATTGTCAGCATCTTCTACAGTGTTTGGTCTGTCTATATAGTATGGGGGCTCAATAGTTGTTTGTGGGAACAAAGGAATGAGACCTTTCTCGCCTAAGGATTCAAACTTAAAAGGAGCTAGTTATCTCTTTGTGAGGAGATTGGGTTTAATATTTATGGATAGCTGGGAAGGAGGTGGTATGCTTTGGTTGGGATGGAAGGTTAAGCAAAGGTCTTGTCTAGGGCAGAGTGTAGGAGTGAAATTCGTTTAGTATAAAAGGTTAAAACCCATTGTGTGTAGTTTCTCACTAATCAGGTATCATAATTATCTCTTTATTCTCTGAAGACTAAAGAATAATGAATGAAAATGGGAATCGTGACTGCGCCTCATGCCTAGAAAGTCCAGATGCTTCCCCCCCCCAACTCTAAGATGATTTTCATTTTCTTCCTAGATAACAGAGGAGATGATAGATCAGGCAAATGATAAGAAAGTGGCTGCTATTGAAGCCCTAAATGATGGTGAGTAATCTTTTTGCTACATTTCTATGGTAGTCAGAATATTGTCTTTATTGCAGTAACTTAAATAGTGATAAAGTGGAAGAGAACTTACATGTACCTATCCTGTACTGGGGAAGATAGTGTCCTATTATCCAGCCACCCCTTCCTCATTGATAAAGAGACTGAAATCACTCAGTATTAATTACCTTACCTCTGCAAGGACAGATCCTGATTTGATTCAGTGCCTCTGATTTCCTGACTGTATCATGGTGTTTTTCTACTGAGAAGAGGCTTTAAAGAGGTGAAAGCCTTAAAAAAAAAAAAAAAAAAAAGTATTAGAGCAGTGACCCTTAACTTTTTACATAGTAATACCCTTGACAGATGATGTCCCTAGGCATACCAATCTTATTTCTAGTCCCTGCATGTTAGATCCTCTTGAGAAAATCCCATCAGAGTGAGAAAGTGCTGATAGTATTTTTTTTTGTGTGTGTATATATATATATATATATATTCTTTTTTTTTTGGTAACTCTCCAAGGTAACAATAGATCCTTTTTTTTATGGTAGTTTTTTTTTAAATTTAAATTTTATTTTTTATTTTTGAGACAGAGTCTTGCTCTGTCACTCAGGCTGGAGTGCAGTGGTGCGATCTCAGCTCACTGCAACTTGCGCCCACAGGGTTCAAGCAATTCTTCTGCCCCAGCCTCCCCGATAGGTGGAATTACTGGTGTGTGGTACTGTGCCCAGCTAATTTTTGTATTTTTAGTAGAGACGGGGTTTTGCCATGTTGACTAGGCTGGTCTCGAATTCCTTATTTCTCGAATCCTCAAGTGATCCGCCCACCTCGGCCTCCCAAAGTGCTGGGATTATAGGCATGAGCCACTGTACCTGGCCCATGGTAGTATTAAATATAATGTTTAATCAGTTATAATTTATAAGAATCATGTATAAACTTGGGTACTATTACTGCATGAGTAATATTTCATGCAAACATCTTTATAACTGTGTGATAATGTGTCACAATGCCATAGTTGACTAGATGCTATTGTATAGTGCTCATGTGCATTTGGACTTCATTATTAGATTAGAAGGTGACTTGGAGTTATTTTTAGAGTGAGGTCAGTATTGATGTTGCAAGTTGATACATATTTTAAACATTTTATGATTCTATCACCTGATTGATTTAGCTCCTTAGTACATGTTTATACTATTTTATACTGCATTTGTCTTAATAGTTTACTTTGCTGAAAAATTTATTTCCTTTATTACTTTCTCTTTACTGTCCCTAGGTTATTTTTTATTTTCTTTTTTTTTTTTTTTTT